AGGGTCCTGGATTTGTGCTGTAGTTTTGACAACTAAATATTCTTTAAATATAAAATAGTTTAAATTGAAAACGACAGTCCATGTGGTACTTTTTTTTTAAAGGGTAAAAAGAAAAAATGTGTGAAAAGGACACCCTTTTGCACAGGTGTTTAAGCTTTGTTCGATTTGTAAGCCTCGGGGCTGCTGTCCACAGATAAAATTGAAGCTCCTGGCTTTTATTTCCTACCCCCCTTAAACAGAATTGTTATGATTTTACAACAATATTATTTTTCCATCAACAACATCAGCAAAAATCAATCAAGTTCAATTAAAATGCTGCCAACGGACACAAAAAGCATCCGACAAAATGACAAAAACAAAAAAAATGAAAGAAGAAAAACACATGCAAACCAGAATGCAATTATCCAAAATTAATTTCATATAAAAATTGTGTAGAACAAAAAAGGTTTGTCAGTAACAGAAATTAAAATGCCAATTATAAATTGCAATTAAGAGATGAAAAGTTGGAGAAGAAATTAAAATATTCGTTGTTCTGGGCAAATCAATCAAACCTAATGGCCTGCGTATGGGCGACTATGTAAACACGATAATAACATTTAACATATGATTGTATGTACGATGGATGGGAATAAATTTAACTATGGTAATGCGCAAATACGAAAAAAGACAAATGCTGGCTACAATTTTGTATTATACATATTTACATATATATATTTTGTCCTAAATGTGCGGCTTTGTGTGTGTGCGTGTGGGTGTTTTTTGTGCGTGTGCAAAGCTTACATTTACACAAGTGCAAAAATTCCCAAAACACAAATCCTAAAAAAACATTTGTTACTTTTTGTGGGGATCCAGGGACGAAGGACGAAGGCAAAGGTCCAATGCACGGGGGTGACCACACGCACACCCCACACACAGTCTCCCACACCCACAGCATAATGCAGGCCACCGTTCTACATGAGTATTGGTGGGCTTTGTGAAAATACAGCGGTGTGTGAGTGAGCTTCGTGTGTCGACATAAGCGTAGTCCTGGCCAATTGATCCCTTCATGGGGTCCTTTTTTTGTGTTGAGGCTTGTATATTATTGTTTCGAAACTTTAATGTAGTTTCTTGGAAGACTGCTTAATCTTCCAAGTTTGTAGAAAAAATAGCTAACATGGAAATCGCATGTTCTGTTCCAATCACATATAAGTATTACATCTAAAAAGTGGAATTCAAAATAGTTTAGGGACTGGAAATTCCAGAGAAATAGGGAATATTTATTAAAATTTTTTTTATAAAATTAGGACACAGCCTGTTAGTTAGAATTATTCCAGCCACTTATAGATCATGATCCTTAATTCAATGTACCTCGATAAAAAATTCACTATTAGACCATCCTGGCGAACTGAAGGGAATTTACACACGTCCTTAACTTTTATGATCAAAATCGACTAATATCTAGTAAGAATACCCCATTCAGCCTACGCCCACTTATATTTCCATTTGTCCAACCAAAAATGTCAGCAATGGTCGCATAAAATGTCCGTTGGTCCAGAGACCTGGACAAGTTAGTTTTGCCTTAAAAGACTTCTGCCGTACATCCCACTCCTTCGGCGATGGTCGTCATTGAGCGTTTAGATTGTACTTCTCTTGTTGCGCATGAATGTATAACATTTTGTCTATTCGAGCTCGTAAATTCGAGATTATTTTGTGTTGCATTTAAATTTAGCAAGGCAGAAAAGCACACAGGAATAGGAGATATGGAGGGACAGATATTCGTAGGCAGAGCGATGTAAGTGCAGCCGGAGCAACGATTCGCTTCACCATGCTTGTTTTGCCATCGAAATTAAAGTGAATTTTGCGGTTTGACTGCCAGAGAATGAAAATAGGCCTGACAGAGGCACTTGAGCAGTCGGATCGGATCGTATCGTATCGTGTATTTTCCTCCCCACTTAGGCTTGCTCTTGCTCTTTCAACTTGAATGCAATTAGAAAGTAAAACGACTACAAATTGTCTTTTGCCGGGGCATTGATTGATTTCCAAGGAAATGGGGAAATTGACGCCGCAGAACTCAAACTCCGAGTCGAAAAAAAATCAGCAGCCGAGCGCAGCGGAGTCTGTCTAAAAATATCATACTCCGCATCTAGCATCTCGCTTTTCCTTTTCATTTCCATCTCACATTTTAGATTTTCCATTTTCCTTTTCCCGAGTGCATTAGGAGTTCCAAAACGAAGGCAAAAACACATGTAAAAAGACGAAACATTTCTAATGACTGCGGTGACACTTTTGTGGAAGTGCATATCAAATAAAAACACCTCTTAACGAGGTAAAAAACTAGTGACGACCGCACCTTCAACATACAAAAGTTCTGATATCAACATTTGTGACGAAAAATTATTACACTCGTCATTAAATAGACTTTCTAATCTTTTCTCATTCGGCCCGCCCTAGCAAACTATTCCAGCCTTTTTCCCTTTACAGGCATTTTCTATTGCAGCGTGACGAATTAGAAAAGATTAGAAAGTCTATTTAATGACGAGTGTAATAATTTTTCGTCACAAATGTTGATATCAGAACTTTTGTATGTTGAAGGTGCGGTCGTCACTAGTTTTTTACCTCGTTAAGAGGTGTTTTTATTTGATATCAGAAGTTTTTGTTTGTATACATTTGCTCTCATAGGAGCTAATATATACATTTAAATTTAAATTGGTCAATCATAATTTTTAAACTATTGTATTTTAACAAATTAAGTTAAAAAGGCGTTGAAGTATTTCAAAATACCTTTTAAACGAGGTATAGTACATGTATGTACCTTTAGTAGTGTAGAACTTACAAACTAACGAAATTTAGCTATTTTTAGCTTTTTCCCGCTAAAGTAGCGGCTTTTTCCAAAAGTCGTAGAACAAAAGATTCCTATATGGAACTCTTAAGTGCAAATTTACTGATTCCATGACCCTAAAATACAGTTCGGATACCCTCCCACAAAATTCATTACTCAGGGAGCGTTAATTGTTCGAGCTGGCAAAAGTGGCTATTTTCGAATAAAAATAACTTTTAAACGTGACTTTTTACAGTAATGTGTTATATACCAAAATTTAAGGAATCTCAAGGGCTATACAGTTTAAGGTTTTAAAGAAAATCGTTAGAGCCGTTTTTGAGAAAAATAAAAAAAAGCTAAAAAAAAAGTTTTAAAAAATTGTCTTTTGTTCATATTTTTTTAAGTATTACATTTACACAAATTGCATATAGAAGGGGTTTATAGCATTTAAAAATACCTTTCAAACGAGATGCAGCACAAGCCTGTAGCTTTAGTAGTATAGAAGTTACGGCTTTCCGAATTTTAGCTACTTATAGCTGTTTTCCCGCTAAACTAGCGGGTTTTTCCAAAAGTGGTAGAACAAAAGTTTTTTATATCGATGTGATGAACGTCATATCAAATTTTCAGAACTTAAAAAACATATTTTGGACAAGTGGACAAGTGGACAAGTGGACAAACAGAATTAAATTTTCATTTTGGGAAGAAGAAGAAAATCTTATTTTGGCTATAACTTTTGAACGGAGCGTCGGATTTTGACAAATGACCCCTCATTCGACGGGTATTTTCAAAAGGAATACAACTAAAACATTGCGAGGGGGCATTTATCCCCACCGGCCCCAACAGCTCCAAATTTCGAAATTTTCACTTTTTCACTTTCACCGCTCTCTCTCCCAAGCCAATTGATTTTCTTAAAGTCTTGGTATGCAATCCTGTTAGTTTTCGCAATACCTTTCGATAGGTGTATTATTCATTATGATCGGACCATCACAGTAGATTTTCATTTCTTCGTGTATATATAGTAGTCGCCTTCGCACACTCTCCTGGTGCGCTTCGTCACTACATGGACTGCCGTCCATAGTGATAAGATTCAGAAACACAGATATATAGATGCGGATACGGAGAAGTCGGGAGTTGGGGAGTTGAGTTGCATACCTGTGCATTCTGCCGGATAAAATTAGAACGTGAAAGTCGCTGCAGTTGACAGCGTAAAAATGTGTGAACTTAGGAACAGGAAAACGACGGCGGGGTGCCAGATATTCCTATGTGTGTTTCCCTGCTGCCAGTACATAAACCAAAACGAAATTAATAATGAAACCGAAAGGCAGCTCCGATTTACACTTGCTATAGGAACTTTAGGCGCCCTGTGACTTAACCCCTTTCGCAAAACTTTTTATTAACTTCCGTCGATTGACGTATAAACTTTCCAATTACCGAAAATGATTTGAGACCACCCCAAGCCAATCCCCTCCTCTTTAAATATATTTATAGCCCAATCATAATACAGTTGTACCTCTAAAATTAGATTGACTATGTTATTGGTATAGAAGTACAAAAAAGTACTGGAAATGCTTTATGACTTATTTTTAAATATTTTTGTTATCTTTTAAAATGCCTTAGGTTAAGATAAGTTAAATAAAATATTACTAATCATTTTAACTAAACTTAGATTGGGGCTTTAAAGACTAACTTATTTCATTAAAAAAATATGCGAGCTTCAATGACGCATACAAAATATCAACATTTAACTTAGTTTGCTAAATAAAAAATAAATCCTGATGAAAAATATGTTATTACGAATTGTTCAAAATGGAAAAGAGTGTGTCACTAAATTATGGAGATAAGCTCTCCGAAAAACATGTTTTTAAAAAAAAATATAATCGTAAGTAATTGTTTTCACTGGGAAAATCATCAATATTTGCACTTACATACGTACCATTAAGCAAAATCAGTAATAAATGAAGCTTGCAAAATACTGGATGAAATATCCGAATTGTTAAAAGGGACGTGTTATTTTCTTGATTATACTACATTTATAATTTATCAAAAAAAAAATATGTATTTAAAAAAATTTATTCTTATTATTAAATACTCGCCCCACTGTGCGGCCGCGCTGGTGTGCGATCGCCCCTCTCGCTCTGGTCGACGGGCACTCAAGTCGCAAGTCGACTCAAAAATCACCAGAACATCGTCGACGGACTCGAGTTTGGGTTCCCCGATCAGTTGTGTCTTGTGCGTTGTGCGGTGAAGTTGCGCCTTCGTTCTGAAAATCTGAAAAGCCAGCAAAGATACTCGGACTGTGCGGTGCATCCTTCTCCAGCTTGAGATCCACTTCCAGAATCAGCCTTAGCTTTTGACCCAACAAATCACCACCTCACTTCGAAAATGAGAGAAATTGTCCATCTGCAGGCCGGCCAATGCGGCAACCAAATCGGCGCTAAGGTAAGTCTTACTGCTACTTTATTTAACTTTTTCTTGGCTTTTTGCTGCTGCTGGCACTTAATTTATTCACATTGACCGAAAACGTTTTTCAATGAGTTTCCAAAATGATCGGTTCGATGTCGCCGCCTTTTTCAGCGCATTCAGCAATTAAAGCGAAAGAAAATTAACAACAAAAAATACGTTAAAATAAAAAATGCAAAGTGCAAAAAAGTGGACAGGCAAAGAAATTTATTTTGAGTTTGTCTGGCACTCGATATGCCCTTTTTGTTTCGCAAAAAAAAAGAATCACAATGACGAAAAAAAAACGGGTTGGGCCGGCTGCAGATCACGAAAAGTGATTCATGGCAAACCCTCCCGAGGGAAAGTGGGAGAGGAATGGCCAGGGAGAATTATGGCAGCAAGAAAACTTCGGGATTTCTGCAATTTCGAGCGAAGTTTGCTTTTGCTGCCCTGCACTTTGCCAAGAAGGGAAATCTCTCGAACTATCAGGCAAGAGAAATCTTTTCGGTTTGCTTGAGTTTCCTGCTCTCGAAGAAACCACAAAAAATTGCAATAAAAATAAGTAGTTATTCGTATGAAAAGTACTCGAAAAGAATGTATATTACCAACTAAATTTAACGTTAAATGAGTAATTAGTAGGGCCCTGCTCAAGCGGACGCATTGAATCATATTTTCAAAAGAGGTTTGAGTAAATCATGTCAGCTTGATCTACAAAAATTATTCCGCATTGTGGGTTACTTATTGAAAATCAGTAGAAATTCTGAGAAAAATATAAATATTATTATGAGTGACTGGTGCACTGAAATTTCATTTGAATTCCAAAGAAATAATTGGAAGTAATAATTAGACATAAATATTAATTAAAAGCGAATAATCTATGCCAGCTGTTTTATTAAGACCTCAGAAATCATTTAATTTAAAGATACAATTTATTAAACAAAGTGCATAAAAGTTCTTTGAAATATATTATTAAATATTTATTAAAGGTCTTGCAATCAAACTGCAGCTGTTCCAATCATACGCTATGAAAACCACTCCAATTACATGTAGAGTATACAATGACTGATCAGCAAGTAAAGCAATAAAGCCAGCTAGTGGGTTTTTAATCAATCAAAGTGAACGAGAAACGGAAACTTGAGAAATGCAAACGAATCAGAGCAATTAAGTTCTGATTTCCAGTTGAGCATTCTCAATTACCTCACATATATAGGATAGTCCACTCAATCAGCACGCCCCGAAAAACAAAGTGCAGTTCTTCGAGATAAAAGGAGGCATGCAGTTAACCGGCTTTCTGTTTTTTTTGGCAATACCAGTTTCGGATCGAGACTGAATCCCCGCCGAGTGCATTTTTCTGTGGCATCAATGTCAATGCCTAAAGACTCGATTCAGTTTCAATCAACACCCCCTGCAAAGTGGGTCACATATAGAGTAGTGTGCCATGCCAAGCGGAGCTGATAAAACTATGTAGTACACTCTCGAGAGATAAGCCCGCAAATCTTAATCATTTGATATGAGTCAATTTGTGAGGGAATGAGACGGCGGACCGACTAGTCAGCAGCTTCAATTTAAAGGCAAACTCGCTTGCCTCTTTTTGTGTTTCCCGGAATTTCGGCAATAGTAATGGTTTTATGGGACAGCACTGTCGTACGTCTTATATACCTATGTACAAACAGACGTTTACGTACTCGAATGAGATATGATGGGAAGTTTGTCTTGGTAATTTGAGCAGCGAACCTCTGCGTAATGTGAGACCCCGAAAAGCAAAAAAAAACTAACAGCTGAGTGGACAGGCGGTTACTTGAATTTAGATGGGGCCTTTGGAAATCCGAAAACCGCACAAGTGCAGGAGAAAAAGGAAGTGACTCACCGGACCTCGGACCTGTCCTGTATACAGTTACAGGATATCGGCATTGCACTCGGTATGCCATATTTTGCGATTCCCTTTTTAGCTCGAGCCACGACGATTAATGCATATTAAATGTACGGCCTCCGAGATTAAGTAGAATTCAAAAGGCCAATAAACCCAGTCTCTCTCTTTGGGAATTCTTATCGCCCTCCTCTGTTCTTCCTTTTTTTTGACACTCCACAGCAGCTGCGAGAAAAGACAAAAGTCAAAAGTGGGTGGTGTGGAGTGGGGTGGGGCTGCCCCCTTCAATTGAAAGAATTTTCTTTTGATGCCAAATGTTTTATATCTTGTGAAAATACCACTCTCTGTCTTTTTGCATAGCCAGCGATCCTCTTCCACCACTGCGGGGAAAGAAAGAAAGACGGGCTCCAAGTTCATGCCCGAGTGATTTCCTCTTCGCAAGCCTCAAATAGACGAAGTGCAGCGATGGAGGAGTCTTCTTGGTCGTCTTGGCTCCCAGACATGCAACACTTAATGAGGGCGTCTCGATTGCCAGTCGCCAGATGATCGCATGCTAGAGGCGTGGCGGGGCAGGGGCGGAGGTCTCTTGCTCTAAAGGGGGGTTAGACAGGGCCAGTTGCCAGCCAGCAGAGCTTTGGAAATTAATTACACGAAAAGAAGAATGGACTGGCAACAGCTTGGCCAGCGAAATTGTTAGAACAGATGTTGTCTGTAATTGAAGGAGAGGCTCGTTGGGGAAAATCCAATGAAAAACTAACCCAAATAAATTCTTATTTTTATTTAATGGTTTTCATTACAAATTGGTAACGTACCGCTATAAACATAAAACACTGGTAAATTAAAAAAAAAAGTTTAAAGCTTATGTTTAATTTATTTATCTGCAAGATAATATTTTTAAAGTCAGCTCGAAGACTTTGTAAATAATGCACGAGAAAACGGATTATTCGAAGAGGTTACCACCAGGTGTTAGGGAATAAGAAACAATATTATCGTATTAAAATACGAAGAATATTTTCTGATTGAATTTAAAAACCGTAAGTCCAATTCGACACGAGTTTCTTTCACTAAATTGAATTCTTGCCAGCAATCGTGTCTGCCCGAAATAAATCTGGCCAAAAAACCATCAATCTATAATTGAAATCTAACTGTGTATCGTATTTGGAAACCTCTTCTGTCTGCTGCAACTGACATTCACCGAAAAAAGCAACATTTTCCGACAAAACCATTATCATCAAAATGAAAAATCCGAAGTGAAAAATTAGTCGAATGTAAAAGTAAAGCGATCAGCGATGATCGTGCCAGAAGAAGTGAAAAAGTGGAAATGAGCGGAAGGAAGGGGACGTGAAAAACGACTTTTCACTTCAACAGTTTTGTGTGCTAATTCAGTTTTCATATTTGTTGCTGCCGCCGTGTGGCTTTTTTTTGTTTGGCCGGCCTTATAAACCGAGCTTTATTGTTGTAGCTGTTATGGTTAGCTTCATAATTGCAGCGGCCACACTCCAATTAAATTTGATGATCTTGCTAAGATTGCAGTGGCCTGAGATTCATTTTGTGTTGATGTAGTTTAAGTTTCCTCCCTCCACTCCACTCTTCGCTCTCTCTATCTCTGATTTTTTAAATAAACAAAGAAATGCAGACGCCATGGGTAGCTCCAGTTCTTCTCCCCATATAGAGTTGGTCCCCCAGCCCCTTTTTGTTTATAGTCGCACACGTCAAGTTCAAGTGCCAAAGGGAAACAACTCAGACATCAGAATGTGTCTGCCTCTTTTGGCCGGGGAATCGCTAACATTTTTATTATTTCCCCTGTCTTCCGAACTTCGAATCTCGGAGACGGGACTGTTGCCAACCCAGCTGCGTTTCGCTCCGATGGACGGTCTACGCTGATCCCCAAAACCGAACACCAAAAATAGTCGCCTAATGATCAACTAACGGCGCCCAAATTTGGTTCTTGTTAAACGCAGCACAACAATTGCAGAGCATTTCCTCAATAAATCTCCGCGATGGCTTGTGTATCCAAGATATACTTAATTTATCGCATTTCAATTGGATTCTTCGGGTTTTTGGGAAGGGGATAGCCTCATCTAATGATGGGTCGTTGGCCTGCAGTTTTCCCCCTAAGCTTTTCAATGATTCTTTGGCCTCCGATGAGTCAGCAGCAGGCAGTATATAAGTAGTATATCTCTGGTACTCCCATCCCATCCTATACCATCTCATACTATCCCATCCCACGGGCTCTGCTCTGCTATTTTTAAATGCATTTCTCCCCAGGAGCGCCGTGGCGTGGAAATTTTGTAAATTTTGTCCCATACAGTGTGAGAGGACCACTATATCTGTTTTTTTTTACTATTTTTTCCTGGCCCGGACGCATCTTTTAAATTTAGCACTAAATCAGGGCATGTTCGCCGGCGTCCAAAACTGACGTTCGAAAAACTAAACATAAATTTATTTTTCCCTTTTTTTCGGGGCAATCTGTCTCACTTTTGACTGCAGCATCAGGAGGCCCCCTATATGGACAGGCCGTATATATCCCATATATATACTTGTGTATATTTTTCCAAAAACCTCAAACTTTATGGGCTGCGGCTGCGCCTTGTTGTTTGTCACATTGTCACATCGGAGGAGGCAGGAACAGCGATTGTTGGAATAGTTCATAGTTTTCTGTCTTTTTTTGGGCGGTTTCTGTGGCTGCGGCCATATGTCAGGGCTCAACATGAACTCTGACATGGCTGGGTGGGCACAATTATTCAACTTGATGAACGACTTCGGGAATATTTAGTAAGGCTTTGTGCCGACTAAAGAATCCGCAATCGCCAAGTGCTCGACTGGGGGCTATAAAGATATCCCAGGCATTGCTGATAAGGATGAATGATCTCCGCTTCAATGGCTGATAAGGCAACTTGCTAAGATGCGGGCTGCAGCTTCTTATCTTAAATAGGAGAGGAAAAATAATTGCTTAGCTAATTATTATATCTTTTTCTGGCATTATAGTGACTAGCGCATTAATAAATAGGCTAGAAGCTTGTAGCGTTGGGATGACTTATAAAATAAAATAAATAAATATATAAAATAAATATAGGGAATGGAAAATGTTATTTTAGAGAAAAATATAATTTATTCTTTAGATTTTGTAGTGCTGAAAAATATATTCTTTGACATTGAAGAAAACTGTTCGTTCGATTTATGAAACTGAGCTGAATTAAAAATGTACTAATTACTCCTAATTAAACGAGTTTTTGAATTATTTTGATGAAGCGTGATAGAATTGGTTATCAGTTCGAATTAGTATTGAGAAATATAAGTTCTACAGAAGAGATATGGTTATTTTAATGTGAATTTCTATATTTCGTATATACCTGCTATAATTACACACTTCTTTCTTGCAGTTCTGGGAGATCATTTCCGAAGAACATGGCATCGACAGCAATGGCATCTATGTGGGCGACAGTGACCTTCAGCTGGAGCGCGTTAGTGTCTACTACAACGAGGCATCGGGTAAAACTTTGCCATATCATATTAATTCTCCCAATGGGTTTAACTAATGTATAACTCTTTCAGCAGTCACGGCGTCGTCGGGTGGCAAATATGTGCCCAGGGCCATTCTGCTCGATCTGGAACCGGGCACTATGGAGTCGGTGCGATCGGGTCCCTACGGACAGCTCTTCCGGCCGGACAACTTTGTGTACGGACAGTCGGGAGCGGGAAACAACTGGGCCAAGGGTCATTACACCGAGGGTGCCGAACTGGTGGATAATGTTCTGGATGTGGTGCGCAAGGAGTGTGAGAACTGCGACTGCCTGCAGGTTGGTATTTGAAGTTAAAAAGATTATTTAAACTAGATATATGAATATATGGTTTAAAATCTATTTTGAGAATTTTAAAAAATTATTTTAAAGTATTTTGTTAAATTATTTGAATTTAATTTGTGGTAAATTTATCATCTAGACTTATTGAGAAACTTTTAAGTATAATTGCTTAGATACTATTTTTCATTCATAAATAAACAATTATTAGGGAATAATTATATTGAGCATAGTTACAAGAGGCGTGAATTCCCGAGGTACTTATATAATATATCCACCTACTTCTAGGGCTTCCAACTGACGCACTCGCTGGGCGGCGGAACTGGCTCCGGCATGGGCACCCTGCTGATCTCGAAGATCCGCGAGGAGTACCCCGATCGCATAATGAACACCTACTCGGTGGTGCCCTCGCCCAAAGTCTCTGACACTGTGGTGGAGCCCTACAATGCCACCCTGTCGATCCATCAGCTGGTGGAGAACACAGACGAGACGTACTGCATCGACAACGAGGCGCTGTACGACATCTGCTTCAGGACTCTGAAGGTCTCGAATCCCAGCTACGGAGACCTGAACCATCTGGTTTCGCTGACCATGTCCGGTGTGACCACCTGCCTCCGCTTCCCCGGCCAACTGAATGCCGATCTCCGCAAGCTGGCCGTCAACATGGTTCCATTCCCGCGTCTGCACTTCTTCATGCCCGGCTTCGCTCCACTCACCTCGCGGGGATCCCAGCAGTACAGGGCCCTCACCGTTCCCGAGCTGACCCAGCAGATGTTCGACGCCAAGAACATGATGGCCGCCTGTGATCCTCGACATGGTCGCTACCTCACGGTGGCCGCCGTCTTCCGTGGTCGCATGTCCATGAAGGAGGTGGACGAACAAATGCTGGCCGTGCAGAACAAGAATAGCTCGTACTTCGTGGAGTGGATCCCGAACAATGTGAAGACAGCCGTTTGCGATATTCCGCCCAAGGGTCTGAAGATGTCGTCGACCTTCATCGGTAACACCACGGCCATCCAGGAGCTGTTCAAGCGGATCTCCGAGCAGTTCTCGGCCATGTTCCGGCGCAAGGCCTTCTTGCATTGGTACACCGGCGAGGGCATGGACGAGATGGAGTTCACCGAGGCGGAGAGCAACATGAACGACCTGGTGTCGGAGTACCAGCAGTACCAGGAGGCCACCGCCGACGACGAGTTCGATCCGGATGTTAATCAGGAGGAGGTCGAGGGCGATTGTATTTAATGGTGTGGCCAGAGGAATGAGGGGCGTGCGTGACGGAGGTCCTCGGAAGGATGTCCTGTTTCTGCGCGGCATGCGGCACCAGCTGGCGGCCAAGCACTGCAGTATCCTTTGACCCCCGTCCCCATACACACACAGCCACATTACATACCACTACCATAACACAGAAATACACAAACACACACACGGACAGGACACACAGGACACAGGACACAGACACAGAGACAGACAGACAGGAAGGTCAAGCGTAGTTAGAACATCAAACGGAAATGTTCCAAAAGCTCATGCTTCCTCTATTCCCCATCATCCCATCATCCGCTCATCCATCTATCATCGCTCATCTTACATATCATCTCTTTGTCCATTTTCGGCACTTGTCACCCTCCTCTACGCTATATACTCTATACACTTTACACGGAGGCACGTCTATCGCATTTCTCGCAGCCATTTTCACCCGCTTTCCACCCTTTCACCTCTTTCACTTCTCATAACCCCCACTATTATCTCACATCATTTTTATACAACTATTTATTATTATATCGCAAACGTCAGCAAGAAGGAACCACAAGTATCTAGTATTTCAAAGGCTAACGAATTTATACGGAAATCTCGAGAAGTGTCCAACGTCCAGAAGGTTCGGCACTCAAGACTTGGCAATACCATACCATTTAGAGCTATATATACGATACGATATACGAGCTTATCCAAAGATAATCGATTGACCACTCTCATGAGATCCTCTAATAAAGGCAATTTCTAAAAGCATCCGCAATTGTATTTACATAATCTTAGGGCACAATCTATTCACTTTGTATTCGTGTGCAGTACTTTCTCTTGTAGTTTTATATGAATAAAAACATTTGTACCCAAATAAATGACTAATAATGGCAAACAATTTTGACAAATAATAAATGGAATTTATTTAAAATTATCAAAAGGTTTTTTTATGGTTGCAAATGAATTTGTCTTCGACTGAAGGAGGAGTGATTCAGAGTATAAAAAATGCGCGGATAAGTGCTATTAAAACAGTATACAACAATTTTTTCTGAAAATACCCTCTTACAATAAAAACCTGGTTACGCTACTGGGATGGAATAAAAACTAACTAAACTAATATTAATAATTTTCTTTAAAATGTCTAGTTGTCCTGCCCGTTATGTACAGCGTTACCAGATGAAATAGAATAGATATAAGGTATGTAGAGTTTTTGTAGATAATATAATTCGCGTAGAATACAGTACAAATGTATAATGTCAAATGTTTCTTTCAAGTATAATGGGTGTAGAATAATGTACCACCCCATGGCAAACTTATTCTGCTTGTCTGGCAACGTTTGGCCTAACTGCCACTAGGTATAATTACACTGTGTTACAAAATTGAATCATTATTCAGAGCACATTTTCTTGGGACAAACTCCTCGCATGCTGAAACTTTGATATATATCCTTTCCTCACATGAGTTAAACTAAATCCCCTTTAAAGAAGTGAATGGTTCTCACTATACCTCATTCTTAACATTTCTAGTATGTAGACCAGATGCTTCATATAAAGTCAATCATGTTGGCCTATTGTCTTTCTCTTAGTCCCCCTTTAACCAGTCTACCTTATAACAGGGCAAGGAATCGAATCTAATGTGCAGCCTGCACCGTACAAGATATAGTCGACCATTTTGTGACGAATAAATACCAATTAATTTTACACAATGCAGCCAAAGCTCAAGGATACAGAATAGCACCTTTCCTACCACTTTTCACCCTGGTAGTGTGACCTATGCGTGAGCGCACAAAGCAATTAGGAACCTTCTTCGATTAAATATTTTTTTCATATTCTGAGCCACGCATGTGAGTGCCATTATTTTCCCCTGAGAAATGTTAAAATTGGTAGTATCGATAAATGGGGTGGCCAAATTGTTCTTTAAATCGTTTAAAAATTAACAAAGCCATTACCGTTTCGTTCAGATTTTTACCTTATTTGTAATGCCAATTGAATGAAATTTTTAAACTTTGAAAAATTTTGAAGTGTGCCAAATATTTTTAAAGTATATTAAAGGATTTTAAAAGTGAGATTTTATAAGCCGTTATAAACATGTATCCGGAAATCATCATTGTAGAAATTCAAATCGATGAAGAACAATTTAACAAGTTTTACTAGATTATGCTTATTCTTTTTATTTAATCAAAAGTAAGATATTTTTGATGAACAATATATTCGTATATAATTTTTTATTAATTCAAGAAGAAGTCAATTACCTTTCTCGTATGATAGTATAATTTTCTCGAAAGATCCAACCAATTAACCGTAATTTTTTCCAAATAAAAGTCTACTTGCCACACGGCTGGTATATTACAATCTCGAGCGGATCTCGGAGTCGCACAAACCTTTCCATTAACTGACTCTCACAGACCTCATATGCGACAAATTCACCAGAATTAAAAGACATTAAACGACGGTAGCGGTCTCGTGACACAAACAAAGCTTTACATAAAAAACACGCCAATAACAAAGTCGGCTAAGAACAAAACCCCCAGACATACGGAAAAAAGAATGAAACGAAGAGGTAAGTGCAAGAGAGAACCAGTTTTATTTTTGTTTTTGATCGAAAGAGCCGGCCGGCTTTTCTGAATGACGGCGAGAACTGAGAACGAAGAACCATAAGTCGAAAACCTTTTTTTGAGCCGGCATAAACACTGTAACACGTTCTTCCGTCTGGCACTTTAGTGACCGGTTAAAGTGCGCTTAACCGTTAGTTATGTCACTTCAGCGGGTCGAAGTAAAGGTTATCCAGAGCGGAAGTCCCCCGACTGAAGCTGAGAACCCGGCTCTGAAAAGTGGGTCAAGTCAGATGGCAATCCCCAATCTGCCATGGCTGCAAGTACAGGAGTTACTGAACGAGTCTTTGGGTACTTTCCAAAGACAATAATCTTTTAATATACGATTTCAAAAAGCTGTAAACTCATATTGTAATGTTTCTTATAATTTTATGTCATAGAACCAGTCAAATGATTTAAGTTTGTCCAAGACAAGTTTTCTACACTGTTATTTAATTGTATTATATTAAAAAAAAAGAGGAAAAAAGTGTTCCGCTTACCTCTTCTTTGGATTATACCACAATATATTTATATTAATTTTTAAAAATGTTAATTTCAATGTAAAGATAATTCAAAAACATTTTAAATTTGTTGTTTAATTTCATAGCCCATTGATCTTTAAATACATAAATTCTATATAAGGCCTTCAATGTCAACAGAAAATATTTAAAGCTTTACCAGAAATTCTTGCCTCTTCAACTTCTTCCCAAAAGAAGTAATGAATAATTTCAGCTGTTACTTAGGTTTAATATTTAAAATAAATTAATAAAGAGCTTAATAAATTCCCTTCTTTTTGGGCTACCCCTTTGTCACATTGTAAATGACCGATTGATGAAACCCCTCCAATCGAACGTCCAACATACTTTTTTTGCCGTGCAGCAACATCGCTTAGAAATAGGCAAATGAAAAAGCAATAAAATAGTTGCCAACTTACACTCATTTGGCGCCGTCATCCAAAGAGCCAGTCGCAGTCGTCCGGCAGAAGGAGGCAAGAAAATCCAATATCCAACATCCAACATCCACCATCCAACTTCCAAAATCCAAAACATGAAGTGAGGCAGCGGTGATTGACCCAGTTTCCCGAGACGACAACAACCTACCTACCTACTCCTCACTCACTGGATCTGCTGGCTATATCTGCAGCTTTTGGATCTTGGCGCTGCGGAGCTACGACTATCTGAAGCTGGAGATGGAGACTTTGCTTTTGCTTTTGCTTTTGCCCGGGGAAGTGCATTGCACTCGCCGAGAAACTATAGTAGGGGAGAGTGGGGGAATTTCGTCACAGGGGCAATTTCGTCACCTGCAATATCTCGGAATCCATAAGTCGTAAAAATATATAATTTTTTTGTTTTAATCCTTCAAGACGGCCAGACACAACCAATGCATTTGTTTTGCACAGAAGGCCAAGATAATTAAGCTATAATATTAAATGTGTTTTAACAGTTCAAAAGCTACATTTAGTTCTCGACGAAATTTTTTCTGTATGCCACAATTCAAAAGGAATAAGATACACGATTTTTTATATAATACACAGAGCTATAATGTGCATTTCTGCGTTAGTGATTTTTAACTTTGCGCCTAATTTCGGAAGAAAAATAATTATTTCTTAAAAAGTAGTGTCTGGGGAAATTTCGCCACCCTACGCTAAGGGTAAATTCGCACCTATTTTAAATACATATTTTTATATTTGACGAGCTGGCTAATCAACAGACTACCAGCAGCAGCAACAAATATAGGACATCAACAAAAATGGTACGCTCGATCAGTGTAACATACTTACAGGCGTAAAGTTCCCTACATTTTTCAGGTGACGAAATTTCCCCAGTTGTGTGGTGATTTTACCCCCCTATGTGGTGAGATTGCCCCAGTATATTGGTTTCCTTTTTTATTTTTTATAAATCACCAAGTTAATTAAAAAAATAGGGGAATGTCACATTTTAAAGCTTAGTGCTAATCGCATTCAACAATAAAAATAGAAATATGATAACGTGTCTCAAGATGGACAATAAATAGCTTTGAAAAAATGCTGACGAAATTCCCCCACTCTCCCCTACAGCAGAAAACAGAAAAAATCGAGGAAAAATCTTGTTTTTTGCAGCTAGTTGCCGATTCTTCAGAAAGCCAAAAAACGAAACCCGCTTGAGGTGGCAAACTGGCAACACAGAAGGGGGCGGTGGAGTGGGGGGCGTGGCAGGCCCCCAGCACATGCAAACAACACGTCAATGGCTCTGTGGTAGCCAAAAGCCACCGCAAACGCCTCGACTAGTTTAGATTGGACTTAGACAACCCGATCTACGGTGCTTTTTGATTTTCTGATTTTCTGCCATCAGTTTTCTACCATTTTTTTCGTGTCTTTCGCGGTTTACAGACAAACACGAGTAGAACAACAATAACGAGACAAATTGCAGCTAGGAAAATCCGCAGAGCCAGAGACCCACACGAAAATACACGCTTGACTTGGTCATTGATGCGACCGCACTTGGCTCAAAAGATCCAAAAAAGAAAAAATCTGAGAAAATCCAAAAGCGAAAAGCC